ATTAGGGAGTGCCAGGGGGACTATATGGATGTTATGTGGGTCCTAAATACGGCCATTCCCGCTACCTGCAAAAAGTTGCTATTTGGAGATTTGAGCAAACGGTCTCCCCATTACTTGTTATTAAATTTTTGAAGTACCCTGTGATCAACCCCCCCTCCTGTTTAACATTTGTTGTAAAAGAACATTTTTGTATAAGCAATGGAAACAATAATATATATAATTTTTATTATTATTATTATTACTATTATTAGCGTCCATTATTATCTGCACAGCCCATGCATGTTAATTCAGAGTATGAAGGGAACACAAGGCTTCCCAAGCATCATGCTAGTCCTAGTAAGCTATTAAGAACCTATTAGATAAGGTGTTTACTGTATATGCATATATGAAGGTGGTGGGAGTCAATTTTTTAAAAATAAATATACACTTATCTTTTTAATTCCTGCATTGTCTAGTTGTTGCAAAAAGCCTATATAAATGTATGTAGTTTAAATATAACATCCTTCAAAGGAAAACTATGATTTTTGGTCAGCTTTATCAATCTTTTTTAATGTTTGCAGTTTTCCTATCTTTTATATATTTTTTTTTATTTTACATATATAAAAATGTTTTTAAAGCAAATACACATTTTAACAGGTTGTTTCCATTACAGTTTTTTTTGGCAGATGATTGCTAACTTATGGAAAAATTTCAGCAGATTCAGCTTCAAGTCCTCTACCGTCTAAAAGTAGTGAATATGAAATTATCAAATGCAGTGAGTCATATTTGCTAAACTAAAATAAAATAAAATATTTAGTAAAATAATGTGTCATTCCCATTAAAGTGGAACCAAAATTTATCTGAGCACCACAAACAGGAAAACACTAATTAATTAATTTTTAATATGAAAGAAAACTTCATACATCCATCCATGTCCCCATGCTTTGTTTGAGAAATCAATTTGAAAACAACCCTTATTTCTAAGCCATGGCCATCTTGTGTATGTAGCATTTACTTCTGGGTATCCATCTGCCCTTAGCGCAGCATGCAAGCAGAAAGGTGTTATTAAGAAGAACATTCAGTCAAAGGACAAAAAAAAAAACCTGCAGCAGCCACAAATGTTGGGAATTCGGCATTTAGGGAGGTTATTTTTAAAAACAGGCTGTATTTTTCATGTAATTCCTTAATAGCACACTGCTCACCTGTACTGTGTGGGCAGCCATTTTAGGTAAGGGCAGGTGAAGCCAGTGCTGTTTTTTCCGGGACATGTATAACATACACGCACAGACAGAGACAGAAACAGGCAACACACACCACCTGCAGTTCTGATCACACAATGATAGAAGTAGCAGTCTTCGATGCTGCCATTGAACTGACCCGACTTCTGGAGCTGTGCCATCCAAGTGGCAATGTGCTTGTCCGCAGCCGGTGCACTCCTCGCTGCCCCATCAGCTATGATTCTTGCTCTATGTGGTGCTTGCACTTTCAGTGTTGTTGGGGATCGAAGGATCATTCCTCCATCCCCTCAATGACTGGACATGCCTCTCTGCCCTCCTCCTCTGCCTAGCTCCACCCTCCCATAAACTGAGCTATAGATTCTGGACACACCTCTCTTCCCTCCTTCCCCAGCCCTCCTCCACCCTCTCATAGACTGAGCTATAACATCTGGACACGCCTGTCGAAAGAGATGACTCCCGGGGATTTGTGATGTAGATATCAACAGGAGTCAACAGGAGACCACACTACATAATTCGCCTAGGCAAAAACAGCAGGAAGTAGAGAGGTAAAATTTAAAAAGGGTATGTAGAGATCTAAAAAAAAATTTTTTAATGTCTATTAATGTTATAGGAGAGGAAAAGGATTCCAACAACAGCAATTTTTAAAATAGGCTGAAGTTCCTCCCCTCCCCTCCTCCAAATGAAAGAAATCAAACATGCCCATGAAGACTTCTGGGATGTATGGCATAATTTTGGCCTAGGCCAAAAACCAGGAAGCAACTGAAGAAATGACAAAACAATAAAAACGTTAACAGAAGTAAACATAATATACCTTCTTATCAAGTTAATTGGATTAAAAGAGTTAATGTTGATTGAGAGAGTTTAGTTCCGCTTTAAAGCTGAACTCCAGGCAAATAGGTAAATATACTATTGAAACACATATATGTTATAAATTCTGTATATACGTAGCCCTACAGAACAGACAGTACACAGTCCATATGTGTTTATCTGCTGCAGAAAAGTTCCTGTGTTCTGTAAACAGAACACAGGAACTTTTATTCCTATTATAAATATTATAGAGAGAAGACATAGAGTTTTATCATAGATGCAGCGATAAACTTATGAACACTGCCATCTACTGGTTGGAGAATAAGGGGTCAATTCACTAAGAGTTAATGACTGAAAAAATGCAGTAAAATAATGCAATTCACTAAGACTTTTGTGGGCAATAACGCTTGCAGTAAAATATCTGTATTGCAGTAATTTACCACATATTTTCATGTGGTAATTTATCACATGGTAGCTGGTTGTTAAGGAAGCCAGCCATGGCAGCCTTAACCACTTGCCTACCAGGCACTTATACCCCCTTCCTTACCAGGCCAATTTTCAGCTTTCAGCGTTGCCGCACTTTGATTGACAATTGCGCGGTCATGCAACATTGTACCCATATGAAATTTTGATCATTTTTTTCTCACAAATAGAGCTTTCTTTTGGTGGTATTTAATCGCCACTGGGCGCTTTACTTTTTGCGCTATAAATACAAAAAGTGCAAAAAATTAGAAAAAAAAAAAAGTTTCTTTGTTTCTATTATAAAATTTTTCAAACAGGTAATTTTTCTCCTTCACTGATGTGCGTTGATGAGGCAGCACTGATGGGCACTGATAGGCGGCACTGATGGGCACTGATAGGCAGCACTAAAGGGCACTGATAGGCAGTACTAATGAGGTGTCACGGATAGGCGGCACTGATAGACAGCACTAATGAGGTGTCACGGATAGGCGGCACTAATATGCAGCACTGATAGGCGGCACTGATAGGTGACACTGATGATGGGTACTGATAGACGGCACTGACTGGCATCACTGCTGGGCACTGACTGGTGGCACTGACTGGCACAACCCCTGGGCACTGACTGGTGGCACTGACTGGCAGCACTGGTGGGTGGCACTGGTGGGTGGCACTGGTGGGTGGGCACAGGTGGGCACAGGTGGGTGGGCACAGGTGGGTGGCACTGCTGGGCACAGGTGGGTGGCACTTCTGAGCACAGGTGGGTGGCACTGCAGAGTGGCACAGGTGGGTGCACTGCTGCTGGCACAGGTGGGGGCGGAGCTAGTGGGCGCACTGCTAAGCACAGGTGGGCGGAGCTTGCGGGTGGCACTGCTGGGCCCCGATCATCAGGGCACTGATCATCAGTGCCCTGATGATCGGTGCCGATCCCCGCTCTGACAACTGCCGGTTCTCGGCAGTACTTTCCTCACGATCTGACAGCGTGAGGAAAGTGCAGCCGAGAACCGGCACTTGCATTTTCCTCTGATCAGCGTGTCATTGGACACCGCTGATCACGTGGTAAAAGGCCGCTGTGATTGGCCTTTTACCACATCACGTGATCAGCTGTGTCCATAGGACACAGCGATCACGGAGATCGCCGGGTGTGCGCATTCTGGGAGGATGTCATATGACGTCCACCCAGAACTGGCCGGCCGCAGTGCAGCCGTCATTCGGCTATCTGCGGTCGGCAGGTAGTTAATAACGGATGACTCATCAGCTGTCAGTGGTGTCCCACTGACAACTGAATGTAAACAAAACATGCCAGCAATTGCAAATGATGAAAATAAACAGTGTGCAGATCTCCCTTCAGGCCTGGTATAGATTCCTAAGGAAAACCCCACAGGAAAATTAAAAAAAATGGCCCTTAGGTCTGATGTGGATTTTGCGGGAACCCCATATCAAAATATTAGTTTAGAAATGGCGTGCTGGTTCTTTCACGACCCTAAGGGATTTTGAGTTTGGTATGGATCTGGGGGAACCCCACGCCGTTTTTTTTTTATTTTGGCATGGGGTTCCCCTTAATGTCCATACCAGGCCCTAGGGGTTGGGGGGCATCCCCTCGCTGCATCTGAAAAATACTGTATATGATACTGCCAGCAAAACCCTAGTGATAAATATTGTGTCTTTTTATCTTTCAGTTCTGTTTGTGAATTGGACTTGACACCTTACCGCATGTTTTTTTTTGCAATATTTACCCACACATTTTCAAATTTGTGTTAATAATTGGACATTTTGTTACCGCATGCAATCATTTATGCAAATGAGTCACGTGACAGTCTTATCGCATGCTGTAACCTTTAGTGAATTGGCCCCTATATCTCTACTTAATACTGACAGTATTTTACACAAAATACATGAACAGTGTATTCCAACAATGACACTCAACAACTACTGGTTATATTATCTCAGATCTCAGTTCTTTAAATCTGTTTCTTGTAAGCAATTTTGTCAAATCATTTGATCCACTTTTGTTTCTCATGGATTGGAAGTCTTTTCATCTCTTCCCACGAATCTGGTTCTGGTTTTAATACTACTTGAGCAACATAGGACAGACGTTTAGCTGGGATGCCTTTATTGCTTCTGATGGATTTCCTGATTGAAGCCTCCTGTGGCCCAGTTTATTCTTTTACAGAACTTGGATTGTCTGCGTTAATTTCTATTTCTGTGTCACTTTGTTACTTGTCTTCATGTGACACTGATGAAATTCCCTCATTTTGAAACCTTTCATCAGCTTGGTTTAGTATAGCTTTCTAATCAAATACAATGTATTGCTGAGATTAGCTCTTTCATGCACCTTTTGTAATCCTTTTCACAAATTATTTAGCAGTTTCACAATTACATATACAGTATGTGTGATTTGATCATCTTCTATGCTAAGAGAGATTTTGCTCTGAGCTTTCTGGTCTTTTTCTAGCCACTCATCTAAAGGGTGTTCTGGCCTGAGTTCATTTATACATTTCCATGTACCTTCGCTTAATAGCAGCATTTTCTTTTTGAATGAACTACCAAGACTGGAAGTTCTGGCTTGGCAGATTTGAAATGAAAGCTTTGTTGCAGCTGTGTTGCTGGCCATTTCTTTTGAAGTCTTCTTTCTGTTGCTTTATTTTGCACTTGTTTGTTGTAGCTGGCTATGAATGAGTGTCTGGGACCATATCCTGTTAGAAATTCCATATATATAGCCCTATAGAGCAGACAGTGCACAGTCCACATTTGTGTATCTGCTGCTTCTCTGCAAACAGGAAACAAGATTTTTATTATAGACAAAAGAAATAGATTTTTAGCATAGACATAGCTGCAAACTTATTAACACTGCCATCTACTGGTGGAAGAATATATCTCTGCCTAATACTGATAGTTGTTGCACAAAATATATAAACAATGTATTCCAACAAGGAGCTTGATCGTTTGCCAAGTGATTTCTATTTGTATCCACCCAATCTTGAAATTGACACAGCCCTGCCGGACACCAATGTGTTGTGACCTGATGTTTCTCTTAGTAAGCAAATACAGCCTGGTCACCTTCCTACTTCTGATATATGATTGGACAGTGAAGGAGCTGCAGTCAACCCTCTGCTCTGAACTTTTGTCAGCACATGTGCATGCAAGACATCTGATTTCCATGTAGTACTGTCCCTTTCCCTTCCAGTATGGTTACAGGATTTCAAGTGGCAAAAATTAAGTCAAATTCAGATATTATTACTAAGTGCATTTAAAAATAAATGTTTTAATAAATAAAAAAAAAATATATATATATATATATATATATATATATATATATATATATATATATATATTGTGCCAGGAGTTCCATTATGCCATCTTAATTTCCAGAACAATGTAACTGCTTTCAAAGCAATGTGATGGCAAGTTTCTGCTACAGTAAATCCAGAATGCTGCCACTCTGAGTCCCAGAAGCCGCTTGATTACCGTCTCCTGAGTGACAGAAGGGCCACAAATAATACTGTAGAAGATTGTGCAGTAAGAGTATTCTGTAACAGGAGTAGTTGAAGGAACGACAAGCTGTTAAGCTGACATAGCATACACATCATATTATCCTCCTAACAGAATTAGTGCTATGAGATAGGGGACTGCTCAAGAGAATCCCAGTTTCTGCATATTGTGTTATCAGCACAATGCAGTCCTGGGTTCTCCACAAGGAAATGATTATGCATTTTCAGTGAACACTTAATTGTGCTATCATTTTAGAAGTGTTTGCACATTATTTTTACAATTTAAGATGTTTTTGCCACACTTTTATGGTTATTTTTAATGCATGGATCTGCATGCACTCCTTCAAGTGAATATCAGACAATGTAATCAGCACCCTTTCTGAATTATTACTATAGTAAAATCTAATACATGAGAAGCCACCAAGAATGCATTCTTTTTCACAGAAAAATATTGACACGTCTTTGAGTATAGACATACAATGGCATACAATATACCCGTATTGGGTAGTTTTGTGCTACTGATCATTCAATGCTTTCAACCTGGCTAGCAAGGCTAAACATGACAGATGCGTCAACTGCCATAGCTACAGTAATGAACTGGAATGCATAACTGGCGGTGACTAAAGGTGACCATTGTTGAATCGAAATTTGGCTGGTTCAGCAGGGACTGACTGGATTTCTATCCATGTGTAGCCTCTCCTGCTTAAGACAGGCTTGTGTTGACTGGGCTTGTTGGAAAACTTTTCTCAATCAGCAGCTGCAGCCAATGGGCAGCCACCAGAATACAATGTCCCAGCAGGGAGGATTCCTCTATCCACCTCAGTTGTGACTGAATGAAAAATAATTATCCATCTATGGCCAGCCTTTGTTACAACTATAGAGACATCAACCATGCCCCCCACAGTTCTGGTCTGTCTTTCCACACCCCAAATATTTCACAATATCTCATTGTTGCCATTTTGTCATCCACCAAGCTCTCAGTGTTGTAGGGGAGATGCAACAAAGCAAAGCTTTCCCCATATAGTGTTTTATTAAAGAAGATAATTTCTAAAAATGTCTGGAGTCCTTCAGAAAGTCAGAGGACAAAATGCGTTAGAAAAGATACTCACACATTGACACATGTGCAATCATATGTTGTATGAGGTTTTTTTTATATGTTTTTCCCTCTAATAAATACTACACAAGGAAGGCCTTGTATTACTGTATCTCTCTTACAACCCCAAGAACTCGACATATATCAGAATGGCACCAGCTGGATATTGTGAGAGGTTGAGTACTTAGCAAGGGGGTGGCAAGTCCAGAGACAGTGTATGATACCAGAATGCAAGAATAGAGGATAGTGTCTGAGCGTGCTATGACTTACCTGAGTAGGGTCATACAGTCCCGGAGAGTGACAATTATTCTGAACATATGGTTAGCCTTTCTTTTAGTAAGTGATTTTTCTGCTGCTTTTTCCATCAGCCTCATACTAGCCTCTGTTATGTTCCAGTGCTTACTCACCTACTTTCAAATGACCTGCTGATCTACCTTTCTTCTCTCACATTGTTTATTTGTCTATAATTCTACCCACTTCACTACCTCATTCCTAAGCTGGAGTAAATGTCACTATGGGCTTTACTTGCCTTTATCTGGCCCCTGGGGCACTATTCTTCCCACTGACACAAGACATTATTTGTTATAGTTACTTATATAACACTCTCAATTTATGCAGCACTTTACATATATACATTGTACATTTATATCTGTCAACTGATACCAATGATGGGACACTATTCCTCCCACTGATACCAATGAAGGGACACTATTTCCCCCCACTGATACCAATGATGGGGCACTATTTCTCAAACTGATATCAATGATGGGACAGTATTTCCCCCCACTGATGCCAATGATGGGGCACTATTCCTCCCACTGATACCAATGATGGGACACTATTCTCCCCCCCCCCCCCCCACACTGATACCAATGATGGGGCACTATTCCTCTCACTGATACCAATGATGGGACACTATTTCCCTTCACTGACACCAATGATAGGGCACAATTTTTCCCACTGATATCAATGATGGGACATTATTTCCCCCATTGATATAGCGATGGGGCACTATTCTTCCGCTAATATCAAATGTGGCGATGTTTACTCTAATTGATGGCAGGAAAATTTCCAGTCCTTCTGGCCACAGTCTGGCCTCCCTAAAGTCTGAAGGAAAATAAATTGGCCCTTTGTTTAGAAAGTTTGGAGACCCCTGCTTTTGACAGGCATGGGGTCAAGACTACCCTTAAAGAGTGAGAGAGACTGCTCAGCTAGAGGAGAGCTGTTGCAGGGGAGGTAAGGAGGATGTAAGGCTGAAGGGCAGGAGCCTGGGAGGAAGCCAGATTGAGAAGGGCTCACCTACAGGCAGAAGGACTTGGGAAGGTTGAAAGCTTGGAACTTTAACGGCCCCCTATGAGAGGACCACATGCATGGCAGAGAAGGAGCGGCCCAGCTAGAAGGTCTGGTAGCAGCCACAGACCCACCAGCAAC